ATACCGTAAGTTGAAAGAAGGGATAGGGATGAAGAAGTACTTGGGACGGCCCCATGGACTATGCGAAAAAGCTGAAATTGCAATTTCGAGTAGGCGATCTGGACTTGCCAGAACGGAGGAAGAGGTATACCAGCCGTAGGAGAGAGGAAGAGGAGGATAGACACACATGTCCATGTGGCAAATCGGAGGAGAGTAGACCCCACATAGTTGGGGAGTGTGAGTTGTACAGGAAGGAAAGAGAGGATCTCGAGGAGGAAATGAGACAGAGAGGGTGTGACATGGACAAGTTTGGTAAATTAGACAACAGCGAAAAAACGATCGCGATAATTGGGGATAGATGGTGGGCACAAGAGGCCCTAGAGGACGGGGATAAGATGTGCAAGAAATTTTTATGGAGTTTGTGGCAGAAACGTAAAGAGCTCCCAAATGTTGGTGGTGTCTCTAGTAGGTGTAGGAACGGTGCTCCGTCTCGAAAGGGACGCGTGGTCAATGGTCAAATGACTACGGCAAGCAACAAATGAGTACGCCCCCCCCCCCCCCGGGGTTGTCCTCCGGGGTGAATTTCTGTCCCTTGGCCACCACCTTTTAAAACAAGCCTAATCACTTCCTGAACTCCGCAACCAGGTTACCGGGGGGGTTTTTACCTCTGTTTTTTTTTGCGGTAACCCTAATGGGGATCCAGTAAATCATGTTGTGCGGGGTGGAGAATCCTCACTCCGCGCAAGGGGGATGATCGCACCATATTGTGTTAAAATGGTCAAGCATCGAGGCAGTTACACAGTGCTTATAACTGTCTCTGGAAGTGAAAGCACCAGAAAATAAATTAAGTCATACGCAGCTGTCATCCGTACGCAAGGAAGTAAGCACAAGATGCCGAACACCCTTAGCAGGATGCAGCTCACCCTTCATGCGACTCGCCGAATACCTCACGGCGCTTCGCGCTTGGTGATATGAGAGCCTGGTCCGGTGAGAACCCGGCGTGCTCCGTCCCGGCTTTGTAGGGATGCGAGGTCAATGGTCTAACGACTACGGCATGCACGACTATGAGTACACCCCCCCCCTTCGTCCCCGGTGTTTGCCATCGGGGTTGGGTTTTCGTCGCTTGGCAACGACGTTGTAAAACAAGCCCCCCCCTTGGTGTTTGCCATCGGGGTTTGGGTTTTCGTCGCTTGGCAACGACGTTGTAAAACAAGCCGCCCCCCCCGGTGTTTGCCATCGGGATTGGGTTTTCGTCGCTTGGCAACGACGTTGTAAAACAAGCCAATTCACTTCGTGAACTCGGCAACCAGGTTACCGTTTTTTTTTTTTTTACCTCGTTTTTTTTTTTTTGCGGTAACCAAAATGGTGGTCCAGTAAAACATGTTGGGGGGGGTCGAAAAACCCCCCTCCGCGCAACGGGGGAAGAACCCACCACGTTGTGTTAAAATGGTCAAGCTTCCTCGAGGCAGTTACACAGTGCTTACAACTGTCTCTGGAAGTGAAAGCACCAGAAAATAAATTAAGTCATACGTAGCTGTCATCCGTACGCAAGGAAGTAAGCACAAGATGCCGAACACCCTTAGCAGGATGCAGCTCACCCTTCATGCGACTCGCCAAATACCTCACGGCGCTTCGCGCTTGGTGATGTGAGAGCCTGGTCCGGTGAGAACCCTGCGTGCTCCGTCCCGGCTTTGTAGGGATGCGAGGTCAATGGTCAAACGACTACACCCCCCCCCTCGGTGTTTGCCATCGGGATTGGGTTTTCGTCGCTTGGCAACGACGTTGTAAAACAAGCCAAATCACTTCGTGAACTCGGCAACCAGGTTACCGGTTTTGTTTTTACCTCTGTTTTCTTTTTGCGGTAACCATAATGGTGGTCGAGTAGATCATGTTGTGCGGGGTCGAGAACCCTCGCTCCCGCAAGGGGGATGATCGCACCACGTTGTGTTAAAATGGTCAAGCATCCTCGAGGCAGTTACACAGTGCTTATAACTGTCTCTGGAAGTGAAAGCACCAGAAAATAAATTAAGTCATACGCAGCTGCCATCCGTACGCAAGGAAGTAAGCACAAAATGCCGAACACCCTTAGCAGGATGCAGCGCACCCTTCATGTGACTCGCCGAATACCTCACGGCGCTTCGCGCTTGGTGGTGATGTGAGAGCCTGGTCCGGTGAGAACCCGGCGAGCTACGTCCCGGCTTTGTAGGGATGCGAGGTCAATGGTCTAACGACTACGGCATGCACGACTATGAGTACACCCACCCCCCCCCCCCTCTCCGCTGGGCTCAAACTTGGAGCAAGCTGGGAAGAAGACACAAGACGGGCTGTACGTGACTGCGACGCGTCTGTGACCCACCTCTCGCCCCCCCCGTCTGCCTACTGGCCCAGAGATTGACGCCGCTGATTGGTTCAAACCACACCTGTTGACAGAGACGCCCAGGTCGCCCGACACGGGACTGAAGGAAAGCTCCGTCTTTGCGCTGGTGACGTGGTTCATGCTGTCGACGAAGGGTACGAGAACGTAGTCCGACGACGCCGCCTTGGCATCCGGCTTGCCTGACACTGGGAGGTTTTGGTGTGCAGCGGTAGGAACGAAAGACACCACAAATGGGTTAGAAATAGCTTGTTCCAAACGGAGCGAACAAGTATCAGCGTTCGGTGTGTGATCCGACACGTTAATGGAACCAGCTCTTTCCTCGCCGTGAGTAGAGGGAGATCCGACACCAAATGCCTCCGCACACACTTACGAAAAACAAAAAATGCTCTCAAAAGCAACAATCACTGAGACGGCCGGCAAAAATATGTCCGTCTCTAGAAGAAACAGCTTTCATGCGCGCGAGATTCCATACAAGGAGAAATTCTGTATTGCTCTCGCCGCGGTAATAGCGTGCTTGACCCGCCGGCGCGCTCGTCTGGCTTACCTGCGGCCTGCAGCGAGCCGAGCTCCGGAAGCGTGAGTGGCAGCAAGGCCAGAGCGGCCACCAAAACCCACACCGGCTGCTCGGTGACGGCGTACGCGGCGCCAGAAGCAGCCAACAGCCCTGCGCTCAAAACCGCCGACTTGTCAGCCCAGAAAAAGGACGGGTGTAAGCGACACACAGCGCCAGGCGAGAGTACATATCGGATAGGAGGAGGGGGGTGTGTGTGTGACTCGTACGCTTCTATTTGTGTTACTCGTCGGTACGGAATATTGCTGTCCATGTCGCATAGGCAAGCCCAACAAGGTTCGCTTCGCTTCTTGTTGCATCTCTCGACCTGATCCTCCGACCGTCGTAAAAAACCGAAGCCATTAACGGCGCAGACTTCGCAGAACCCCAGAGCAAGCGAAAAAGTCAACGAGGCAAGATAAAAAAACAGACATCCAAGACTTGCATGGCATTGTTCTGCATGTGCTGTGCTGTGCCACGCATACAGCTCTGTCTCGCTGTCTCTGCTTGTCTCTCGTAGATCCTGTCTCTCTGTCTCTGTCTCTGTCTCTGTTTCTCTCTTTCTTGCCTGCTGCATACGTTGTTTCTGCATCTTCCTCATCCCCTAACTCGTTCTCTCAAACACAATAACTCTCTCTCCCCTCCCTTTCACTCTCTCTCAATAACCGACCCTCCCTCCTCACCGCCCTTACACCGATAAGACAGGTTTGTCTCACCTTCTGGCCGCCGCCGAAGCGGCCGTTGAAAGCGCGGCTAAGGACGCACTCCAAGGCCCACACGAGATCGTCCCTCGTCACCGCACGCCCGGCCCCCTCCGGACATCGCACCACCAGATCCTCGTGCAGCTTGTCCCACGCGGCGCGTTGCCTCTTGGCGGAGGCCGCGCACCTCGAGTACTCGAGGGCGTCTAGTTCCTGCGAGGGCGGCGCGGGGGGCGGGGGAGATACTCATGATAAACGGTACCATGCCGTAGTCGTCACACATTGACCTCGCATCCCTATCATGCCGAGACGGAGCGATATGCCCGGTTTTCGCCGGCCCAGGCTATGTTCCATAAGGATGAACCCAAAACGTGTGTGTGTGGGGTGCTTGTTGTGTTTTTCTGTTGTGATAGATCACACACGTGTTCGGCGAAAGCAAAGACGGAGAAAAGATTATGCAACGCGCGTTTTTCATCGCGGCGATGACAAACCCTGCTGTCGCACGTTTCTTCGCGTGGACCCACTACGAGGGCCAGCAGGAGTCGACACCTTCCCATGCACGCTCGGCTTGAACGCACCCGGTCCGTCAGTAACAGACAGCAAACAAGAACGCGCCGAAAAGCAGCACACAAGCCGGTCGTACCGGAATGACAAACAACAGCACCTCACTATAGTCTAGACGGTTGCCGACCGCTGCATGGAGAACTACCCCATCAGAATCCTCGACTATGCAATACCCCGACTGTTCCTCACTTCACCGACCGACGGACAGACCGACTGACCTGGTCCGTCCAGTGTATGAGCGTTTCGAAACTCCCCTGCGCCGGCAGCACGTTGACGTAGCCCTCGACGGCAGACGCGGCCCCGAGCTGTCGTTCCCAGAGCAGCTTCAGCGCCAGCTTCACGTACCACTGTTGGCTGATTTCGCGAGAAACCATGAAGCGGTGCGGCGAAGCGAAAAATAATTGTTCGGCCGGCCGTTTGGCACCTGCCGCAAGGTGTGCGGCACAAAGCAGCGATGGCGAGACTACGATAGGTTGCATAAGATATCACACACCGCCTGGACCGATATCCAAAGCTCGATTTCTCGGAGGCACGAAAAGTAGTGGCGGTGCCGAGAATGGCGGCGTTGGAACCGTCTCGTCCAAATTTTTTCCGCAATAGTATCATTTGATTTCGGCATCCTCTTCGTCGTGGAGTAATCGAGCTTTGAAAAGCGGTCCAGGGGGTGTGGTATCTTAAGCAACCTATGTACGGCACCAGCAAACTCCCGACAGCTTTACGGCAGCAACACCAGCAACACCACCAACAAATGCAAGCGCACCAGTGCGAATCACCATGGGGCCGTGTTATACTCTGTGAACAGCTGGGGTGCATATGTCCCCCACACGTCTCGAGAGAGGTGGTGGGCGTACATGGCATACATACCTGTCCCAGAACTCGGGCGAGACCCAGGACCTGAAGGGCGTCGACTCGGACGCGGTGAGAGAGATGGCCGCCTTGGCCGGAACAGTCACAAGCTGCTCAGACTTGGACGTTGCTTCCACCGCCTTGAGCCCCCTGTATTCCGGCGTATGGAAGAATACGACCCAACGGAGGAACTTTCAGCGCAGCCTCAGCAGTATGTAGGAAGATGACTAAAGCACGATCAGACAGGTTGGTTTGCTGGGTGCTTAGACAAGTGACTTCGTGGACCGTGATGGTTTACCCATGTTTGGGTATGTGGCGTTGGTTCAGCCACTGTCCAGCCCCATGCAGCAGAGCAGAGCACAACCACAGCGGGTGTGCCACAGGCAAAACAGCTCGGTTCGCTCTTGCTCTGAAGCGGTACACCACAAACGATTGTAGTGCACGGCCAACGCGGTGTGACCAAAACTAATTTGTTAAGGTCCCAATTCCCAACGACTAGTGTTGTGTATCAGGAAATTTAGACGGGGTATATGAATATTGATACATACCCCTCCGCTGGAAACATACATGGATATTTCCTGATATTTGAGGAATTTTCAGAACAGGTCCGGATATTGATGTATAGGGGGTATATATTGGGGTATATGTTGGGGGTATATGTAATGTCTGATATATCTGGGTATATATAGGGGTATATTTGGGGTATATGAACTGATCATTCAAGAGTTATGCCCCTACAGCAGTACAAGTGTTACGTGTACGCGAACAACATACTGAGATAGTACCAACAACGAACAATGAGTCTACCGCCCAATGCTTTGTATCTCACCGAAGGTCTCCTACTAGACCGTCGGCGAAGACCTCGTGTCTCAGCTTGGGCGCCCTGATGCCCGCTTGGGCGGCCCACCGCTCGAACCTGTCCTCCCCTCGTCGCTCGCCGCTCTTCTCCGACGAGGTGCTCCTGCTGTCTTGTGCAACCGCCTCGGCCTTCAAACATGACTGGGGGGGTACATACGGCACAATTGTGCATCTTGTAGCAGAGTTGCTTCAGCAGCGGACAGCAGTTGTAGTTGGTGCTGAAGAGCAACCGAAAACAAAGTGTACATATCGCAGCTTCTGCTACAACTGTTATCGTCGCCCATTCCAGCAGTAGTGATAATCAAGTACGTACCGCGAAACAAACGGTGTGCAACAGCAGCAGCAGTAGCAGCAGTGCTTACCTCCGCTGGCGGGCGTGCACTTCCGATACATGTGTTGCGACGCGCATATGGCCGGCGGCCACCACGACGGACGAAGGGCGTGCCAACCAACCCGTCCACCACATCAACTGGGCAGCCAAGCCAAGCCGCCACAATAGCCAGATAGAAGCCCCACTTCCTTGCTGTCATCTCTCTCGTCGCGTCTGCTGTGTGGAAGAGCTGAGAGTCGCCGCGCGGCACCGCGCTGGTTTGGCGTCGTCAAGAACGGTCGGTGGGGAGTGGGGAGTGACATCTCTGCGGAGGCGTTTTTGCGTTCTCACAGTTTTGTTTTCGCGGGGACGGCACGACATGTGTCGGCGGAGCGCGGGTTTTGATGCGGCCGCTGGTAGGGAAGCCACGTAGGGGAGCCACGCGGACCCAGCATCGCCGCACAGGCGCGGGGTTCAATACATCGATATGCGGGCTCTTTGACCAATCTCGCCCAAAACAGCTCGATAGGAACACCGGAGTGAGAGGTTGGGCATGGGGTCGGTTCGGGAACCCCTCAAACAACGGTATCGAGAGAAAATAACAACGGCCGTGATGACAAAATGGCGCTGAGCTTCTTGAAAGATAGAGATGAGAATGCGGTGCTCGGCAACCTTGGCGCCTTTACGGGTGGGGGTGCTAGGGGCCAATCTGTCCAGGTGATACGAACTGTATGCTGTACAAATCTATGCACCGAACTCTGATGGTGTCGGAAATCTGCTGTTCCGCCTTAAAAGTAGCAGTACATTACATGTCGACCATATGCGAACAACATGTGTCGCTGTCGCCGTGCGCCACCATACCGGGCTGTGGTAGACGGTTACCTGGCCTAACCCTGCGAGTTTCAATATTGATCTAGGATGGTTGTGTTCTCCGTGTGGCATGACCTGAGAGTGCGGCATAGTCTATTCTCTGTACAGACACCTGCCGTCGGCCAACGGCAGCAATTTTGCGGATCACAAAAGACGCATTTCGTGCGAAGCGCGAGATAATGCCCACGAGTGTGAGTACATTTACTTTTGCATCCCGGAGACTTAGAAATGTCACGTCCGGCTGACCCGAATAGGTCCTTAAGCAAAATCTGGCTGACTTCGTCTTGCCAACTCTGTTTCATAGATTACCTTTCTTGCCGCTCCGTTTTCTCACATGTTGCTTCTGGCCATCCACCATCCTACTGTAAAACACTACCACTACTGCTGTAGATTAGCCAAAAGAACCAACAAGCAAACAGTGTCTCGTGCCGCTCTAAGGGGCTGCACTCCTCCCCTTCCCTGTGGGTTAGGAGTGATTCCCTGACATTTTTTATAAGACCGCAAGGGACACCACATCTTTTTAATTAGCTCTGTGTGGCGAACACCTGGGGTTACTTGTAAATCATCCTCCCGTGGTGGACTTCCCGACCCCCTCCTCTTGTCTGTAGCTGTATCTGCTACGTAAGTACCCACGCCCCAACGGTGGCATCTTCATCCGCACTCTACCACTCCAGAACAGCACCCTAAAGCTATGCGCACGCTTTCGTCGGCGTGCGGTGAAGTGTTCCCGGAGCAGGCAATCCCGTTCTTGTTGGGATGTCTCTACCTCGTGGTGTTCATTGATACAAGTGTCTTTCCGTGTCTTCCCCAATTCCTTGTTTATTTTCGTCCAAATCTTGGAACCATGTTCTTTCTTGACAGACCCTTTCTTTGTTGCGAGGCGCAGCTGAAGGTGTACATATGAATATCACAATCGGTGACGATGTTTGTTCCCGACGAACCCTGCTGACATTTCCTGGATTTGCTACTCCCAGCAATGTACAGAACGGGCCCGCACTTCAGAAAAATTCTGTCAAGAAAAAAAAACTCAAATGTTGCGAAAATTAAGTAAAAAGGGCTAAGAAACACAGCTCAATCTCGGCCACAACATAAGAAACGCCTCAATAAGAAACATGATCGTGCGATACCCCCAAGACAAAAGAAACAAGGGGGTAGCTGGGGGAGCATGTCCAACAAGAAAGGTCCCACTGCTGCTGCTGTTGCTGCTGCCATGCCCCCACCTCTTACCTAGCTCATGTCATGTAATTCTTTGGGGACGACAGTGGTTATTTTCGCGGCGCCCGCCGCGCCCCCGCGCCCCCGCGGGCTGCGCTACCTACTGCCACGACCCCAACGGCCACAGCGAGCTGTCGGTTTAATGCTCGTGAAGGCTTGGTGGGTTGTTGGTGTTTTCCTCGCTAGAAGTGAGAAAATAATGGATTTAGCAACTGCGACAGCCCCAAGGAATAAGAAATCCGTTTTAAGAAATTGGCCGACTTCGGCTGGTGTTTCTGCCCAAAATAGGAAATTTAGGCTCGACCCGAATTTGACGTTTCTTATCTCCGGGCCCGTTCTGTACATACAGTAGTCCACCCAAAGAGCATTATCGAAGCTTTCAGCCCGGTGGGAATCGCATGAAATGGCCATTTTGAACACCCTCCTCCTGCCAGCACTCGGAGGTGGCGGCTGTGTAAATGTTAATGTTTACCTGTACATGGTGTCAGCTGTTGTCAAGTGTGTGAAGCGCAGCTCTGTGCCGCAATAACTACTTGAAATATCTACCTTGTGGTAAGGCGGTGTCCACAGTCTATGCGTAGAGCTGTGCAGTGTAAATCTCATGATTGTGTTTTTGTTTGACATCATATTCCAAACGCGGCACGCACCAGCACGCTGAGTAGCACGTCGCGCGCATATGTACTTAGTACTTCAGTACGAGATGAGCCCAGAAACTCGGTAGGTCGTTTTATCGTCTTAATAGAGTAGGGTATGACCCAATTGGCGACGTTGCAAATCCCCAATGCGAAAAATTCCCTGGTAGCATAATTGACTTGGTGCTTCATGACTCGGGGACAAGAGGGAAAA